CTAAAGACTGTCCTTAAGATAAAAATAAAAACACATGATCTTCAGGACCCTCTCAATACCCACTTATATAGTTCTGCTAGTTAAACTCAACAAGTACTGCCCTTTCCTCAGGTTATTTTCTCACGCCTCCAAGGTGTCATATAAACATATTTCTGCCTAAAGTGTTTCCCTCTCTCTCCACCTTCCTATCATCTGGTTAACTCAGACTTCAAAAGAAAACTTGAATCACATGAGGCAAGCTCACAGGAATTCTGCCCTAACACTCCTCATCATCTTCTCCCCATTCCATCCTCAGTCTCAGTTAGGTGATCAAAAATCCCAAGTTCCCCATCATACCCTGTGATTATTTCTATCATAGCATATTTAAATGTGCATTATAATTATTCCCTTGTCTCTCTTTCCAAGAGTCTATAAGCATTTTGAGAATACATTATCTCTTATGTCTGTGTTCCTGAGGTCTGGGCATTTTGCAGGTAATTCATATAATTTAGTGGAAATTTTCAATTGGTGAAATTCCTGAAAATTACTCAAATTAACATGCCCAGAAATCCTATTCCATCCACTCCAACCCCCAAATACACTTCTATATCTGCCTCCTTAGTTAACAGGTAGTACCATTCATCCGATTCCCCTAGCTCTACTAGCTCTTGAGTCAGCTTCGGTTTCAAACTCTCTCTTTGAATCTCTCATCATCAGACTTTCCCTCTGCCCACAATGCCTTTTCCATACTTGAAAAATTCTATTCATCTCTCAAAAGCCCTGTTCAGATGGTGCCTATTCTGCAAAGCCTTTAAAAAAAAAAAAAAATGCAGTTCCCTTGAGGAAATTAGGAAATTACATCCTGTTGCTCCTAGACTGGGGATAGAAAAATCCCCATACCCCCAAATCTTGACTTAATCTTTCCCTTGTACAATCACCCATTTACCCAACTTTTCTAATGGTAATTGTCAGAACCAAAAGGTAAGGCATTGTAAACAAAAGATTTATGCAGGGGTAAAAAACCCAGAAGGAAGCATGTCTAATTTCAAACACAGAAATATTAGAATCACCAGTCAACACCTGAATGACCTTGCTTGATTTTATAAAGGAAGCAGTAGCATTTTCTTTACCTTTCCTCTCCTCCACAAGATTAAATTACTTATTCTCCCATGTGTGCTCCCACAGCAGTGCAGGTAAACTTCAAAGA